TAGACAACCACACCTTTACAGCTGACAACTCCTTCTTACTGTTTCCAATAAGAAGTATGTCATCCACGTACAGCACAAGAAATACCGCCACGCTCCCACTAATTTCCTTGTACACACAGTGCTCATCCGAACATTGAGTGAACCCGTACGACTGGATCACCTCATCGAACCGAATATTCCAAGATATCGAAGCTTGCTTCAATCCATAAATGGATCGATTAAGCTTACACACTAGATGCTCACGTACTTTTTCAATGAATCCCTCTGGTTGCAGCATATAGATGTCCTCCTGAAGGTTTTCGTTAAGGAAAGTCGTCTTGACATCCATCTGCCAGACTTCATAGTCCATATGAGCGGCTACAACCAAGAGAATCCGAATGGATTTAAGCATAGCTACTGGCGAAAAGGTCTCATCATAGTCTATACCCTCAATCTGGGTATAAACTTTCGCAACAAGCCTAGCTTTGAAGGTTTGCACCTGTCCATCCGATCCTCTCTTTCTCTTGTAGATCTACTTACATCCAATGGATCGTACCCCATTGTGGGTTCTACAAGATCCCAGACCTGATTAGAGCCCATTGACCCCATTTCAGCATTCATTGAAACATTCCATGATTCTGTATCTTTATCTTGGATTGCCTCGTTGTAGGTTCTTGGGTTCGATTCTAGGTTTCCTGGAATTGAGCCCTTAGACTCTCCAAGACTTATCCATCGGTCGAGTAATTGAGAAACCCTCCCACTACGACGAGGTACTGTCTGCACTGGTACACTCTCAGTGTGCCGTGTTGCAGTATTACGTGATGTATCTACTTGCGTACTCGGTGGGGAACTATCAACTTCATCCCTCAACTCCTCTAATACTAGTTTACTTGTGGGCTTGTGATTCATAATATAGTCTTCTTCCAAGAATCTAGCGTTCATGCTAACGATCACCTTCTGATCCTCAGGACTATAAAATAATCCACTTTTCGTTCCCTTGGGATAGCCTACAAATACTCGTGCTTCCGAATGTTTCTCCAACTTGTCAGCTTCCTGCACTAACACGTGTGCAGGACTACCCCATACTCGAAACTGTGAGAAACTGGGCTTGTACCCTTTTCACATCTCATAAGGAGTAGTTTCTACCGACTTTTAAGGAACCATGTTCAGAATGTACACAGCTGTTTCTAAAGCCAATCCCCAGAACGAATCTAGTAACTTTGAATAACTCATAATCGACCTAACCATTTCCATAAGAGTCCTATTTCTTCGTTCTGCAACCCCGTTCTGCTGGGCCGTGCTGGGTGCAGTCAATTGGGATTCAATCCCAGCTTCTGATAAATATGTCCTGAACTCTCCAAAGTGGTATTCGCCACCTCGATCAGATCGAAGCGACTTGATACTTTTACCATGTAGCTTCTCCACAACTGCTCGATACTCCTTGAATTTTTCAAAGCATTCGGACTTGCGGTGCAACAGATAAATGTACCCAAATCTCGAGTTATCATCTATAAAAGAGACAAAGTACTCGAAACCTTCTCTAGCCTGGATCGACATAGGACCATATAGATCAGAATGAATCAATCCTAGGGCTTCTTGGCTCCTATACCCCTTTGCCGTAAATGGCCTCTTGGCCATCTTACCTTCTAGGCATGATTCACAAGTTGGATAGTGCTCTTCCAATGAACCGAGAAGTCCACTGACCACTAACTTTTGAATCCTGCTTAGGTTGATGTGCCCAAGTCTAAGGTGCCAAAGATATGCTTGATACTCGAAGATTCCTTCCTCTTATTAGATTTAGTCGTGACATTATTCAATTCAGTTTGTTGCAGTGTGGGAGAGTTTGGTTTGAGAACAAATAAATTTCCAACTAATGAACCAGAACAAATGAAACGCTTTCCATAACGAATAACAACCATGTCATCAAACGTAAACGAAAATCCATCTGAAACAAGTTTAGAAACTGAAACAAGATTCTTTCTAAAACTAGGAACATACATGTCTCAAAACCAAAATACTACTATCAAAAGATAAAGTAATGTCTCCCACTGCAACAGCTGCCACTTTCGTAGCATCGCCCATGTAGATGGTGATCTCTCCCTTCCTAAGCCGCCTGGTTTTCTGGAACCCCTACAACGAACTGCAGACATGGTCAGTGGCTCCAGTATCTACACACCAGGTTCTGGTAGATACAAGCGCTAAACATGTTTCTACGACATACGAGAGAGTTCCTTTCTTGAGGAGAGGGAAGTCGACCTTCCAGTGTCCTGACTTGTTGCACTTGTGGCATATACCTTTCGGCTTCTTTGCCACAGACTGAGGGGGCGGTCGCTGTACCACCGGGGCATCCTGCACCTTTGTCTTTCCTGCAGACTTCTTTCTCTTCCTGCCCTTGTGAGGCCTGAAAGGTCCAACCTGCTCGGCAACCAGTGCGTGAGGCGCCTGAGTGAATAAGGCCTCTGCCGACTGAAGCTCTGCTAACAGTTCTGGAAGAGTCATATGCATCTTTTGCATGTTGTAGTTCAACCGGAACTGATCAAAGCTCTTCGACAGAGATTGGAGCATGATACCAACCTGGGTTTCCCCGTCAATAAAACCTCCTATAACCTCAAGATCATTGAGTAGCGCCATAACCTTGAGAGCATTCTCCCTTATGGGTGTGCCCTCTGCCATGCGCGTAGACATCAGAGCACTCATGGCCTCTTGCCTAGCAGCCCTAGACTGGTGTCCCAACAGATTTCTGAGATTGAGAAGTATATCTGCCGCAGTGTTCATAGACTGATGCTGATGTTGAAGAACATTTGACATAGATGCCAGAATGTAACACTTCGCCATCTCATCAGCCTTTTTCCACCGGACATACTCCCTTTCTCCTGCTCAGGAGCATCAGCCGCGGGCTCTGCCGGGCAAGCCTCAGTAATCACAAACTTATAACCCTCAGCAGTCAACACAATGTCTAAGTTCCTCTTCCAATCAATGTAATTAGGACCAGTAAGTTCATTTTCTTTTAGAATGACAGATAACAGATTGAACGACATGATGAATATCTGAGAAACACGAAAATAATTTTACAGATTAAACACATATGAATTTAACTGCTAATATTGATATCCTCAAAACAATATTAACTTAAATTCACCGACATCTCAAAACACCGAGAGTTAATGCATGATGCGAGGGCAACACTACACAACTCAACATTCGCAAGAGAAGGACTTTCAAAGGCCCATTAATTTCCATAAGTCAAAACCAAATTCATGACGAACGAAATTAATAGTCGGTCTCCATTTGGCCATGTAATAAATTCAGGGACTCCGAGGGGAGTTAGAAATAAATCGCATTCTAAGTGAATCCCATTTGTCGATCCTGAGTTCATACGAATTCGATTATACGTCATCCGAGGGGAAGCCCGTACTCTATCATAAGACTCCCTCTAATCGTCTAATTAGAAATTCGTCCTGGTAATTTCCTACAATTAATTTTAGCGATGTCACCCGAGGGGGAGCCCATAACCGCAATTAATTGATTTACCAACAAATTAGAAATGGAGACCTTAGGAATTTTATAATTAACTTTAATTTAAAATCCCTTCTCAAACTTTGTATAATTTAAATGAGGATTTTTACTTATTTAAATATTTATGCAATTCTAAATTAATCCTATGTAAATGCAATAACTAATTAACATGCATAATTAAATATAAA